TACAAAGCAAGACTTGTCTCAAAAAAACTAAGGATCAATTAAAGACACATGCCATTAATCCCAACACCTGGGAAGCAGAGGCAAGTGGATTTCTGTGAGTTTGAGGACAGCCTGGTCTACGTTGTAAGTTCTGGGTCAGCCAGGGCTAAATAGTGAAACCCTGTTTCAAAAACAAAACAGAAAGAAAAGGAAGAAAAGGAGTTGTACCGAATCATTCGTAGATAAACTGACAGACGATGTGACCACTCTGTGGTATGGCTAAGGGAAAGTTTTTTTTTTTTTTTTTTTTTTTTACGAGACAGGGTTTCTCTGTATTGTTTCGGAGGCTATCGGTCCAGCCCAGCCTGGAACTCACAGAGATCCGCCTGCCTCTGCCTCCCGAGTGCTGGGATTAAAGGTGTGCACCACCACCGCCTGGCAAGGGAAAGGTTTTTTATTGTAGATATAAGACAGCGAATAACTAGAGGCATCTGGAAAGAGTGAGAAAAAAAATGGACTGAACATGGCCGAAGACTGGACCTGGTCATGAGAAAAGCAGGAGCAGAGCAGAGACAGAGGGGGTGGGATGGGGGAATAGAGGAGCCTGGGGGGTCATGGAGAGAAAAAGTGGCATAGAGGGAGACAGAGAGCGAGCGTAGCAGGGTTATAAGGGGCTGTGCGGAGAGAAGCCCATGAGCTGGGGAAGTCTACGGTGGGCGGGGAGGCGAGAAGAACAAGGATGCTAGCATGGATTGTGAAATGTGTAACTAGTGGTACTGAGGGAACCTGAGGCCAGCATGAGCTTTGGTACACTAATAAGTGCCACAGATACCAGTTTGTCCCCTCTGCCTTTCAGTATTTGGAAAAATGGATTTGACAATGCTAAATTTAGGAAGCTACTGCAAAGGTGTGCAAGGTGGTACCTGTAATCCCAGGAGTCGGAGGGAGGAGGGTCAGAAGTTCAAGACCAGCCTCCATTGCACAACCCCCCCTTTTTTTTAAGATTTCTTTTATGTGTTTGCATGTTTTGTGTGCATGTTTGTCTGTGTACCATATGTATGCCTGGTACCTCTGGAGTTCAGAATAGGATATCAGATTTGGGACTGGAGCTACAGACAGTTGTGAACCACTGGGTGGGTGCTGGGAATTGAACCCAGATCCTTTAGAAGAGCAGCCAACATGCTCTTAACCACTGAGCCATCTTTCCAGCACCAAAATCCTGTCTTGAAAGAAAAATGAGGGGCTGGAGAAATGGCTCAGCAGCTAAGAAACACGATGCTTGTGACATGGAATCTTGGCTGTCATCCCCACACACCTATAAAGAAGGAATCTCAGTTGAGGAGTTGTCTCCACCAGATTGGCTTGTGGCATCTTGACTGCTAACTGTTGTAGGAGGGGTCAGCCCTCTGTGGAAGATACCATCCATAGGCAGGCAAGCCTGGGATGTTTAGAAAGGTAAGGGTGTAGTGGCAGTAATTGTGAATGCCTTTAATCCCAGCACTTGGGAGGCAGAGGCAGGTGGATCTCAGTGAGTTCGAGGCCAGCCTGGTCTAGTTCCAGGATAGCCTCCAAAACAACACAGAGAAACCCTGTCTTAGAAAAGAAAAAAGAAAAAAATCGGATATATTATTTATTTTTGTGCATATGCTGTTTGCCTACATGTACTGTGTATGTGAAGCATATGCATGCTTGGCACCTGAAGTCAGCAGAGGCCTTGAATCTCCTGGAGCTGCAGTCAGGGGTGGTCATGAGTCACTGTGTGGGTTCTGGGAATCCATCCCAGGCCCTCTGCAAGACAATAAGAACTCTAAACTGCTGAGCCATCTCTGTAGCCCTTATATGAGCTTCAGATAGCCTAATTGGAGCAGAGGCCAAAAGCTCTGCCTGATTAAATAGTCCTGCTCCAGGTGTGACTTGAGCGTTGTCTCAGTTCAGGTTCTGTCTGAGGGGTTCTGAAGAGGATGTTACAATGGCCATCACCAGTGGGGGACCAATAAGAACTGCTCCCGGGTGTAGCCTTCCCATCCTAGACTACTCCCATGTTTTAGAGGGGTTGGATGGGTGCAGAGGAAGGTGCTGTTACTGGGATGCTTTGTTCTGGAACCCAAGGTGACTGTCATTTAGGGAAATGACTTATTTTTGTGTCTTCAGCCTTAAAAAGGGATGAGATAGGCAGGTAGACTAGCACCCCTTGAGTGATTAATGTGCCTCTGCAGAGTTGAGCAGGCACGCAATGGAGGCAGAGATGTGGGAGGCTTTTATTTTGCTTTTAGTTCTCCTGTGGGCCAAAGAGAGAAGTCCATGCTTTTTTTCCTCCCAAAAAGCAGCTTGTAAATACCTGTGATGATGTGGCATCACTTGAACACACATCCTTCTTATAACCTCTTCTTTTTTTCTTTAATTAATTAACGAAACCCTGTCTCGTAAAAAAAAAAAAAAAAAAAAAGAAATACTCCCCAAGTTGTTTTTGGTAACCCTGAGAAACCTAATATAGAAAATATCAAATCATTTATTTCTTTTTTTTAACTCTTTTTTTTTTAAAGATGAATTTATTACATATACATGTGTTCTACCTACATTCCAGAAGAGGGCACCAGATTGAATTGTAGGTGGTTGTGAGCCACCATGTGGTTGCTGGGAATTGAACTCAGGACCTCTGGAAGAGCAGTCAGTGCTCTTAACCTCTGAGCCATCTCTCCAGCCCAAATCATTTATTTCTTGAGATAATCTCACTATGTACCTCTCACTGACCTAGGATTCACTATGTACACTAGGCTGGCCTGTCTCTGCCTCACAGGTGCTAGAAGTAAACGTGTGAGCCACTACACCTGGCACCTAGGCTAGTCTTGGACTCCTGCCTCTGAATTCCTAGTACCTAGGGTGCCAGCTATAACCTCCATTACTGTTTTCAGGTTTTTGTGAGTTGCTTTTTACTTTGTTTGCTTGTTTGTTTATATGAGAACTCTGCATGGATGGCTGCAGGCCAGAAGAAGGGGGCATTGGATCCCATTATACATGGTTGTGAGATGCCTTGTGGTTGTTGGGAATTGAACTCAGAACCCTTGGAAGAGCAGTCAGTTCTTTTAACCACTGAACCATCTCTCCAGACCCAACATTTTTTTTTTTTTTTTTTTGGTTTTTCGAGACAGGATTTCTCTGTGGCTTTGGAGGCTGTCCTGGAACTCACTTTGTAGACCAGGCTGGCCTCGAACTCACAGAGATCTGCCTGCCTCTGCCTCCCGAGTGCTGGGATTAAAGGTGTGCGCCACCAACGCCCGGCGATGCCTGAGTTTTTACACTTTTTAAAAATAATTATTTATTTATTATGTATATAGTGTTCTGCCCAGGCCAGAAGATTACAGATGGTTGTGAGTCACCATGTGGTTGCTGGGAATTGAACTCAGGTCCTGTGGACGAGCAGCCAGTGCTGTTAGCCTCTGAGCCATCTCTCCAGCCCCCTACACGTTTAAATATGATTTCACAGGTGTGCACTGCATTTGCATCATTTACACCCCACCCCCTCCAACTCCTGTCTTGTCTTCTCACCCTGTCTGAAGTAAGACCTCTTCTTCTTTAATTACTGTTTTTAAACATGCAGGCACACACATGTACATATATAAATATATCCTTCTGAGTCCCTTTAGTGTTGCTCTGTGTATTTAGTGGTGACTATTTGGATAACCTAACTATCTTCTCATTGGAGAAGATGAAAGAATTCTCCCTCTCAGCAGCCATTCTTTGCCTGTAACTCTTCATATTTCCCCCATCCATGTTGGGATATTAACTCATGCTGTCATTTTGTAGGTCTTGTTTAGCTCATGGAGATTTCATGGGTATAGCTTCCCTGTTATATATAGAAGACATTCTGGTATTAAAGGCATGTGTCACTACCATCCGGCCCTCACTGGATTTATTAAAAAAAAAAATCCCAGCCCAGCAGTGGTGGCACATGCCTTTAGTGCCAGCACTCGGGAGGCAAAGGCAGGTGGACTTGTTTGAGACCAGCCTGGTCTACATAGTGAGTTCCAGGACAACCAGGAATACAGCCAGTTACACAGAGAAACTTGTGTCTTGAAAAGCTATAAAAAGGGGGGGAGGTGTTTTTTCTTGGGGGGGGGAGCCGGTCTCATGTAGTCCAAGCTAACCTAAGATTTTGGGAACTTCTGATACTCCCGCCTTCTGCTTCCCTCCTGTTGGGGTTGCAGGCATGCGCATGCATTACCATGACTGGCTCAATGCTATTTTTAGGTGGATACAACTTTCTGAGGCATAGGAATTGCAGCGAAGAAAGCTCAGAACTTCCCCTTTTGGAATTTGGCTTCTGGGCCAAACTTCCAAACAATAGCGACAGTATTTTGATTTGTAGCTGAAGTTGCTGGGTCTGGAGGAGCAGGACTTTGTCCTTTAAGAGCAGCGATGCCCAGGGGACAAGCCTTAACCCGGGAGAGCCAGTTTCTGCCCTTAAGTATGTGAGGAGTCCATGAGCCACGTTCCTGGTCCTGTTGTAACCTTAGGAACATCCCTTAGGGTTCAGGAAACTCAATCTTCGCATCAACAAAATGGGAACGGTAACCTTAATGCTCCACAAAATCAGGAAGGCTTTTGAGGACTCAGTTCCGGGTATGGAAAGAGAAAGCTGGCCAGAGAGGGGAAGGAGCCCCACCCCTACCCACCACGTGGAGTGCCCTCTTCGCCCGCAGTGAGGCCTCTGGGCGATTCCCGAGCTCCGGGCGTGGCGGAGGCGGGGCAGGGGCTGGGGACTTATTTAGCTGAGGAGAGAGCCAATACCTCTCGGGGCACAGACACTGCGTAGGGGCGCGGCCTGGCTCTCGAGTCCCTCAGCTCCCCCGCCAGCCCGGAGGGGAAAGAGGACAGCCAGGGGCGGGGCATGGAGGCGTGGCCTCTCTCTTTTTTTTTTTTTTGTCCGCCTAGATAAGGAAAGGTTCCCCTGCGCCTTTAAGAGGTAGACGCAGGCATCCGATTGGCTGAGGCACCATGAGCGGCCGGCGCCCTCCCCCTCGGGCGGTGCGTTCCCGGGCAGTCTGCGCGAGGGCCCGGCCCGGCCGGCGGCCCCTCAGTCCCCTCGCCCTCTTCGCTCCACGTCGTCTCGGCTCCCGGGGGATGCCCCGGACCAGGTTCCCTTCATGGCTGCCGACGTGTTCATGTGTTCGCCGCGTCGGCCCCGCGGTCGGGGCCGCTCGGTGCTGCTCAAGCCTCAGGTGCCGGAGGACGACGACGACTCGGACACCGACGAACCGTCTCCGCCGCCCTCCGGCGTGGCCACCTCAGCCCGGGCCCACGCGAGCGCTGCGCCGCTGCCACCCCGGGCCGGGCTGGGCCGCGAGGAGCCTCCGCGCCGACAGCAGATCATCCACAGCGGCCACTTCATGGTGTCCTCTCCGCACCGCGAGCACCCGCCCAAGAAAGGCTATGATTTCGACACGGTCAACAAGCAGACGTGCCAGACCTACAGTTTCGGCAAGACCAGCTCCTGCCATCTGTCCATTGATGCTTCGCTCACCAAGCTCTTCGAGTGCATGACCCTGGCCTACAGGTAGGGACTCGGTGACGCCCCCCACCCCACTCCCGGGCCTGGCCGAACCCCCCAGCTTCCCCCCAGCTTCTCTTTGACAAAACCATCGTAGCCATTTGTTGGCTTCCCGCTGTCCCTTTGGAGGCTGCTTCTAAGACGATTTGTGGGTCTGGGGTCTCCACCGATGGAAGAGGCGCTAGGGTTCTGGCCTGTAACCCTGGCAGCAGTGCCTGGGTTCTTCCGGCTTCTTGTTCCCCATCCAGGTCCTCCCCTCCCCTGGTGCCCACGGGTCCGGTTTTGGGCAAGAATTAGGTGTAGCTTCAGTTTGCGTGCTGTTTTTACCTGGCTCTGTGGACCACTTCCCTGTACTGCTTTGTGTGTTACCAGAACCACCCAACGGTTAAGATCACCTGTCCCTGGTGTCTGGGGCGCTGGCTGTGCTATCTAATGATTGTGTAATGCCTTGGAGCCTATTTCCTCGTTTGTAAAGAGGGGGTGACAGTGGTATCGACCTCCAGAGGGCCGTTCCAGGGATGAATTGAGATAGGTGGAGTGTGTCTTAGGCACTCCTTAAATGTTAGTGACTTTTCCTGATTGTCGTGCATCTGGAGACTGGGCTCCGTCACCTCTCATTTCCTGGGAAGTTCTGAGGCAGGGCTCCCTCATGTACTTAGGAGGACATGTGGAGCTCCAGCTGCAGGAGGAGGTGCAGTCTGTTTCCCTGGCAAATTGGAAGGTTTTTCTTTTTTTCTTTCTGAGCCAGGGTCTCTTGTAGCCCAGGCGCCTCTCAAACTTGCTTTTGTAGTAGAGGCTGGCCTTGAACTCCTCCTGACCTTACTGCCCCACTTCCCAAGTTCTGGGATCATAAACATATGCCTTCCATGCCCAGGTCTAGCTAGAGGGTTTTCTCGTTGGCCCTATAATGATGTATGAGTTTTAGGTGTCTAGTTTATAAGGCTGGCATTCCAGACACTGTCCTGAAACAGGTATTCAGCTTTGGACGAGACCCCTTTTTTCAGACTCACAGAAATGCCTTTCCCTGGAGGGTTTAACCTCTCTTTCCACTCTCTCATTCTTCCCCAGTGTGTCTGTTAGGCATTCGCTTTAGGTAGTTGGTCTGTCTCAGCCACAGGCCTTCTCTGAACTCCTGCTAGTGGCTGGAGCAGCCCGGTGTGTAGTAGCCTCTGTTGAGATCCTTGCTGATTGGGCCTCTTTCTTTAGAAACTTTACTAGCTTAAGGCTTTGAGTCCTGCACACCTGGCAGCACAGGAAAAGTTTCCCAGGTAGCTCAAGAGACTGTGGAAGGAAGAGTAGGGATATTTCTAGTCCTTTTGTGTTATCTTGAGACCCATGTATCCAGGAACTCACTATATGATCTAGACTGGCCTGGACCTTGCAGTAATCTTCCCGCTTTAGCCTCCCTAGAGCTGGGATTACAGGCATGTGCTGCCATGGCCAGGCAGCCCTGTTTCAGTTTTGTTTTTTAAATTAGTTTTCAAGTTAGCCTGTAAAAGAGTAGGTGCAGTATGATATTTTCATACATAAGTGTCAGACTTCATGGTTTTTACTATTTTGGGCTTTGAGACTGGTCATGCTTTGGGAGGCTGGTTTTAAATTTGTGGGTTTAAGCAACCCTCCCACCTCATTCACTCTCCCCCTTTTCCCTCCCTCCTCCCCCAACAATCTCTTTCTCTCAGAGAGGTAGATAATGAGCCTTGATAAATCCAAATTAAAAGCTTTACTCAATTGCCTGAAGTTAAAATACTAGATAGTTGGCTCTGGATGGCATTTTCCCCTCTGGAATAAATGATTAGTCAACTGGCTCCTTTGTTTTGTTTCTGAAATGCACCCTCACCCCTGTTTCCTCTCGTGGAGGTTTCCCTGCTGGCTCTTCATTCTGTCACCCTTACATGGCACATTGGCCAGTCTTTGCTCTGACTCTTAGATCTTGCCAGTTTGAGCTGGCACTGAGCCTGTGAAGATTGTTTTTAAACATGACAGTGAAGCTGCAGTCCTGTCTCAGTCTCTTATTTTGAGCTCTTTTTTTTTTTTTTTTTTTTTTTTTGGTTTTTCGAGACAGGGTTTCTCTGTATTGTTTTGGAGGCTGTCCTGGAACTCACTCGGTAGACCAGGCTGGCCTCGAACTCACAGAGATCCGCCTGCCTCTGCCTCCCGAGTGCTGGGATTAAAGGCGTGCGGCACCAACGCCCGGCTTATTTTGAGCTCTTATATTGGAATCAGACTCAATTATATTACAGCATAAGCTCTTCTTTGAGAAAGGTTTTTCAAACAAAACCAGAGGCAAAAGTCAGGAATGTGTTTATTAAGAGAACATAATCTGCTTTTTTTTAAAACTTTAATATAAACTTCTGAATGTATATAGAGAGAAAGCTGCTTGAACCATTGGAAGCTTGGGCTAGAAAGGTCTCACTTAGTAAGCTCTGCCAAAGGAAAACCAGTCTCCGTTTGCTCTCTATGTGGATAACCTAAAGGATTATTAAATAGCACCAACAGAGTAATTCCACCTCCCATTTCTTTCAGAAACATTTTGGCACTTGGCCATTACTGAGTTAATTTTCATGATTGCAAAATGTATTCCTGTTTGGCACAAGAACTCCAGCCTCATGGACTCACTTGCTTTACTAGCTTAGGCTTTGAGTCCTGCCTGGTACTCAAAGTTAGTATTCGTCATGTCTGGTACTAGTACAAAGGCTCCTGGATGGGCATCTGCTGTTAACCTCCTGTGAAGATGTGTCCATATGAGGCTGATGTGGCCTTCACTGAGTTTTATTGGCAGCATGGACATTTGGTACAGATTAACTGAGAAGCTAGAGAAAGCGGGGTTTCTGAATTCAGCCTACCTGTCAAGGCCACCAGCTGCTTTCAGAGAAGTAAGCTCCCAGTGGGGGAGGAAAGCAGACCCAGTTTACATCGCTTGTCCAGGTTTCTTCTGCTTGGCCTGGGAGGAAGGCCAGCTGGGTCTTCTGTGTGACTGTTTCTGGCCTAGATTGTTTCTAACTCCAGCTTCCAGTCTGTTCCATGGGCTCTTGGTGCTACTGCCTAACTCTCTGGTACACTCTGTGCTTTTCTTTTTTGTTTTGTTTGGTTTGGTTTCCTGTTAACTGCTGCTTCCCAGCTGTGTCCAGATGAGGCTCAACAGCTTTTTGGAGTAGGAACCAAGTACAGGGGAAGTTATGGTTATTTTTACCCAATCCTGAGAGGTGGTCTAGGAATCTCTGAACAGGATTGAGCAAGGGCTTTTTATTTTTTTTGGAACTGGACTTGGATTTGTTTTGTAGGTCAGACTGGCCTGAAACTTACTGAAATCCTCCTGCCTCATCCTTCTAGTGCTAGGATTACAGAGGCAACTGAACCGTTTGACCAAAAACTGGCCATGTGGGACTATATATGCTCATTGACCTGCTTGATAAGTGGTCATAAAATGGGGTTCCAACTTCCTCAGGGCTAGCTTTTTAAACACTCATGTCCTTCCCACTCTGGTAAGTAGCCCTGTGGGGAAGCACCTTGGTTTGGTTCTAAAACGTGTGCTCCATCTCTGGGACATCTTGTAGGGAAAGAAACTGTCTCTCTTCAAGGCAAACTTATGTGACAGATGGCAGGAGAGAGCAACCTGGCTTTCCTTTCCTAAGCCATCCTGACATTGCTCTAGAATGAAGTGGATAAAACTTCCCTGCAGGGTGGAACCAAGGATTAACTGTGATGTCTGTGACTGGGTCTGTACCTGGCTAATTGCCGGTGAAGGGAGGGTTATAAAATCGAGTGTAAAGGGTGGACAATGTTTTAGCACTCTATCCTCAGTCATCTGATGGTTGAGCTAGGCTGGTAGTATATAACGTCAGTCACAAGATATAGAAGGCTAAGAAGGAAGTTCATGAGTTCAAGGCCAGCCTGGGATGTCCAGGGCAACTGTGTCTACAAACAAACAAACACCACCATCTATCATGACTTAAGTTTCTCATCTATAAACTGAAGGAAACAGTGTGTCTTATTGGAGTCTATCAGTGAAGCTTTCAAAGGCCTGCCTGACAAATACTACATAGAAGCATTCTTGGTTTGGCTGGGTCTATCCAAGGCCTCTATAGTGGAGTTATGCTTTAGCACATAGGTCATGGCTCTTGCCCTTTTAACATTTTAAGGAATGTCATGCATGTATGCCCCCCATACAGATCCTGAACACATTTAGTGTGTAGCTTTTTGTGGTTGGTTTTGGTTTCACTTCTCTCTCTCTCTCTCTCTCTCTCTCTCTCTCTCTCTCTCTCTCTCTCTCTCTCTCTCTCTCTCTCTCTTTTCGAGACAGGGTTTCTCTGTGGCTTTGGAGGCTGTCCTGGAACTAGCTCTTGTAGACCAGGCTGGTCTCAAACTCACAGAGATCCGCCTGCTTTTGCCTCCTGGCTACTTCTCTCTTTTTTTAATTAACTTCTTTTGGTATGTATCAGATGGTAGCAAGTGGTCTTTTGAAAAAAGTTCTTTAATTCATTTATTTAATGTGTATATGTGTATGTTGAGATCAGAGGGCAACTTGTAAGATCTCTCCTTCCATTATATAGATGCCAGGTATCAAACTCTGGTGTCAGGCTTGGCAGCAAACACCTTTTATCTGCAAAGCCATTTTGCTGGACCTAGAAATGGCCTTTTTTATATTTAGGCATAGTAGTAGTTTTTTTGGCAAGTGATATTTAAGTGGATATTGAAGAGACATTTTCTTTTTAAACATTTTTCGTGTGTGTATGTAGGTCAGATAACAACCGCTGAGGAGCTGAGTTCTTTGTCTACTGTCTTACCAGCCCTTAAGATTTTTAAATTAGGAGCTGTCGGGTATGTTGGGATATATAGCTGTTAGGATATGTTTTCAGGGTTAGCTTCCCTTTGTGTGCCTTGTGTGAAATCTGTTCATGGCCCAGGGTGGAAAGCTATGCCAGACTTAAGGAATAGCGAGGACTAAAGATTTAGCCCATCATGCCCTACAAATTTTAGGTGTCCAGTAGAGAAATCTTTTCTTT